ACACAGTCTTTTCAACTTCTTTTACTGTGGAAATTCACACACACACAAAGTAGAGAGATAAGGACAGACCATGGCATGTGGATCACCTAGATAGTTCAATAGCTGTCAATTTAGGATCAATATTCACTCATTTTTACCCCATTTCTTACCCTCAACTCCATGGCCAATTTTTCAAAGATAAATCTAAGAGCATGTCTGTAAATAATATATATCTTTAAAAGAATTGCTAAAAAAATAACCATATTGTTCCACTTAACATAATTTCTTAATATTATCAAATATCTAATAATGAGAATATTATATCAATTTTTTGGTCCTAGAGACTGAACTCAGGGTTCAGTAAAATTGCATGTTAAGCACATGTTCTGCTAATGAGCTACACAGGGAACTGTACAGTGTCAGGCCTCCAGAGGCTCACATACACTGTGTCATCCCCTCCTCACATGAAGTCTAGGCTCTCTGAGTGTCTACCATTATGTTGCTGTGACACCCACAGCGGGCAACCATCTTGGTAACATCTAGTCCTTTCCTTTGGTACTGTCTCACACTAACTCACACCTACACAACTCAGTTCAGCTTTTAGGTGAAGGGGGTGTCAATGCAATTAACATTCCACCAAGAGGCTGCATGACAGTCAGTTATGACCAACTGTACAGTGTCACAGAGACTCTTACTTCCCTGTCTCCTCAGCCTGTGTCTTCCTGGCCCACACTGAGTTTAGGTTTGGCTATGCAATTTACTTTGGCCAAGGAGCCAGCATGAGTAAATAAGATGTCATTGTAGGCCTGGAAAGTGTTTGTACTGAGACTTGCCTTTCTCAAATGTTGCTATCTTGTGAAGAAGTGTGCTGACGACTCCTGGCCCAGCCAAGAGCCCATATCAAATTAAAAGTCAGGCAACCAAGGCTGACTGGGACCATGCAGGCCCAGGAGGGCCACCAGTTAACTGTAGCCACCTGAAAACTCTCCCTATAGAACCAGTCCCAAATTCCTGGCCCAGAGAAACAGCATCTGTGGCTGTTGTGTTATGCCACTAGATTGTTCTGTGTTTGTTACACAGCAAGAGATAACTGATACATATTTTTAATCATCTATGAAAGACTCTCAATCATAAAAGTAAACAGTTATTTCCCAAACCTCAAGTCACTAGCTTCAAGATGTCTGTCCCTCTACAGACAGAATATTTTAAGAACCAAAAGTAAAAACATAATCTGGCAAAAAGTTTTATTTTGGCAATTTATGTACTTGAAAAACCATGTGAGGCTATAAAATTTCAATGAATGTAATTAAACATGGATCAAACCACCTTTCTGAAATAGAATTAAATTACATGAAATTGGGCCTGTCCCCAGAAAGCCTGAGACATATGGTCACCAGACGTCCTGCCCCTTTAGGAAGCGCCCTAGAAGTCTACCCAAGTTCTCTACAGGCACTTGAGAAATTCAGTCTCTTGTGAGAAAATTATTGGCTCTACATGTAGATTTTCTTGCTGTTCTTGCACATATTTAACATTGGCTGTCTTCTGACAGTAAATATTCTCTAAGATGCCTTAACTTTCAGATAGGAATGAAGATCCAGACTCTACCTAAAGCATTCCATTGTCACCCTGAGTTATTGCTTGGGCATCAGAATAAAGCACGTCCCTCCTCAGTCCAGCCTCTGGCAACAGTGTCATATACATGCATGATGCTTGAAAGAGACTGTTATCCAAGCACCTCATGAACTCTAGGCAGCTTCCCTGGGGCCGTAAAGATGCAAGAGGCACAGGACTCAAGGCAGCACAACGTGACAGATGGACAGGGCTGTTTGAGAACTGCTAGGCAGAGGTGTGGAGAACTGCAAAGTTTGCTCTCGTGACCTATGAATGATGGAGCTCTGGAGCAAACGGCAGAAGCCCTATCACCCGGACAGCAGGGCTTCGTGGAGAAGATGGCACTGCATAGGACACCAGGAGGAAGAACAGTTTGCCAGCTGGAGAAAGGGGAAGGAAGAAACCCAGAGAGAGAAGAGAGAATGAAGGAAGGCCCCAAAACGACCTGTTTTCCACATCAAAGAAACGGGAAGTTGAGGGTAGCTGAACCACCAAAGGCATCTGGAAACAATGGCTCCTGAGCCACAGAGCCATGAAAGCCACGGATCACACAGTGCCTGGGTCCAACTCAAGGAATCTGAGCTTCCTCTTGCCATCATGAGGCAGTCGTTCATTCATTTAATCAACCATTCATTTTTGTTTTCTTAAACACAAGTAGCACAGTCAGATTGGAATTTTAGGATCATCTTCTCAGTTGGATAGGATTAAGAGGAGAAAGAAGGGGCTGGAGAGATGGCTCAGCGGCTAAGAGCAATGGCTGTTCTTGCAGCAGACCCAGGTTCAGTTCCCAGCAACCCATGGTAGTTAACTCCATTTCCAGGGGAAACAGTGCTCACTTCTGGCCTCCACAGGCATTGCACATACATGGTACACTTACATGCAGGCAAAACATTCATACACATAAAAGAATTTTTTAAAATATAAAAGAAGAAGAGAGACAGAAACAGAGATAGAGACAGAACAGACAAGGCCCTGTGGGGTGCCAGCATCTGCAGGCTCTGTCCCTCCAGCCACCCAACACCCTTTTAAACCCCAAACCTGTCAGGCTGGACCTCCTGCAGTGCTCCTTCCCACATCACGTCTTCATTGGGTTATCACCGGACAGGACCTCCCTCGCCCTATCTTGTGTCTCCCCATCATCCAGTCTCTTTTCTTCATAGACATACTCAGTCTTGGACTTTCTGCTTACTCATGTATTTGGTCACCGTCTGCACCTTATCAGAATGTGTGCACACTCTGGTGGTCTTATCTGTTCTGTTCACGGCTGTGTCCCTGGGGCCTAGAGTGTCTATTCTAGTGTCTAATAGTGCCTATTACAAAGAAAGAGCTCGATAAAATTCTGTGGAATGAATGATTTAACGAAGAATTAACTGGAAGATATTGCACCAGTTCAGGTAAGAAACAATGAGAGCCGAATCTAGGAGAGTGGAGCACAAAGGGTTTTCAGCAAACTTCTCAATGCAGACACACAGGAAACAAAGAAATCCAAGACAGTCGGAGACTCTGCCGATGAAAAAGCCGGAGGATTTTGTCTTAGTTGTAGGAGGACAAATGAGTGGTTCATTCAGGAATGGCTGCAGTTCACGCGTGGTTTCCAGGTGGACAAATCTGCCTTAGTCAGAAGTCCCTGACACCTTCCACATCCCTCTAAACCATCAGGTTTAGTTCCTAGGGGAATTGCCTATCTGCTTGCTGGAGATACAGAGCATACAGTGGAGGCCTTTTGGGGACAGCGACAGGTCTTTTCTCTCTGCCCAGCAAAGTTTCTCACATACGGTGTTCCCAAATGAAGGAAAGAAATACAAGAAGAAAACGAAGAGAAAGGCCGACAGAGAAACCGGCAGCCACGGGTCTCCAAAGAAACCACCATGACGATCACAGCTCTGGTGGTTTCAGTGAGAAATGTCCCCATCAGGCTCAAGTACTTGAACTCTTGGTCCTAGTCGGTGGCACTATGGAAAGCTCATGGGACCTTTAGGAGGTGTAGCCTTGCTGGAGGAAGTATGCTGCTGGGCTTTGACAGTTAGAACCTCATCCCACTGCGGTTTGATCTCCCTGGTTCCTATGTACGGATAAAGATGTGATCTCTCTGTTTCCTGCTCCTGTTACGCACCTGCCACCTGCTGCCATGAGTCCTCTGCCATACGGACTCTCCCTCTGGAACCATAAGCCAACATAAGCCCTTTCTTCTACAAGTCCCTTTTGGCCATGGCATTTTATCACCGCAACAGAAAAACAGCAAATACAATGGCAATGTCTGAAGACTGAGAGGAGGTCTGATAAGGAGATCTCAATACTGAAAAAAAGGGGCAAAGGAGGGATGGGGGGGACACTGAGAAGGTGGGTGCTGTCAGAGAGCTACCCTGGGGACATACAGACACAGTCCCAGGAGCAATATGAAACAGTGGTCAGGAGCTGTTTTATGATTTCGTGTAACAGTTATACTCCTACTTCAGACCAATCTTACTCATGAATACTGGTACTAAAATTCTATATAGCAAACACCATTACAATAGGGCATTTTTAAAAGATACTATCACAGTCAAGCAGGTTATAGTACAAGAATACACGGATGGTTAAAAAGTGACAAATATCCAGCTCAACAATTCAGAAAAACAACAAAGCAGGCAGAAAGTAAAAGAAAGCAAAGTCACAGGAGTGTTACCGTGCAGGGGCACAAGCCCTACACTTACAACGGACCTGTTGCTGCCTTGAAATTCTTATTTATAAATGTGGATATGGAGTCTGATGGCTCCATGGAGGGTGTGCAGGAGCAGAACAGATCGGTGTCATGTATAAGTCTTCTATGCCAGGTGCTTATGAACGCAGAACTCAGGCAGACCAAGGTATGCGGCAGTTAGAGAGACCCAGCATGAGTAAGTGGGGGCGTCGGTAGCCCTAGGGGAACCCAATCTGCAGGTGAATACACAGAAATGACAACCCAGGGCTCCCTCTGACATCTTTCCTTCCCGTTACCTTCCTTTATTAGCCACTTACACGCTGAAGTGATGGCAGAAAAGAAATGGAAAGACAGAGCAGCCCAGTTCCCTTTTCATCCAGCACGTTGTTACTGACTGGAAGCTGAAGGCAGACTACAAAGTAGAGCGTTCACTTACCAAGAAGCAAAATGAACAACAGATGGTTCCTACAGCGTGTCCACTGTCCTGACAGGGTCAACACAGACTTTCAGAGAACAGCTATCCAATATGAACTGAGCAATTTTGTTGATTCTGCTCATGAGTTAAATGCTCTTATAATTATATTTTAAATGGTATTTTAAATGGTATTGCACAATATAAAGATGAACAGTAAATTCATGTACTGTACTTAGAACCCTGGTCTGGAGTATGTATGACATCACCCTTTGACTTTTGCTGACAAATGTTGATGACTTAGATATGTTCTGTTACCTCATAAATATTAAACTGCTCCACCAAGTCCAGGTCTGTCCCTTTCTTGCTCAAGTGCCTCTGGGACACAGCAGCGATGCCCAGCTCCTCCAGGCAGTCCACCACATCATAGAAGGTGTCTTGATCTGGTAATCCTGACAAAGTCTGGGAGAGAAAAGCCAGATACAGATACAACTTAGGGGACTGTCAAAAGGCAATGAAGACATTTACAGTAGCCAGCAGCTGCAATTACAACAAAATACAACAGTGTAGAAACACCTGGAAAATTCATTTAATGAAGAAATCTCCTTAGAGTAACAGAAGAATGAAGCCAGGTCATTTGGCGCCTGTGTGCAGCCCTGCAAGATCCCCCCACCATAAGTGTGGTCTGAACACTCCCATGACGAGTCATTACACCTATGATTAAGCAAAGGGAAGGGATCTTGCAGGTGTCATTAACGTTCTAAATCAGATTATCGTCAGTGATAACTGGGTGAATCCTTTAATGGAGGGTGTAGATCTCCCCTGGTCAGACTGGAAATAACCTTGCTGGTCTGGAAGAGCAAGATACTGTGAGTTCTAGGGCTGTAAGGAAAAGAATGCAGTCGACAACTTTGAATGGTAGGCAGAGGCCCCCACACCTCAGAGAGGACCTGGCCTTGTCAGCACGTTGACCGCCTGCAGCTTGTAAGACCCTGAGCAGGTGACCCAGCGAGAGTGTGTCTGGACACCTTACACAGGCAAATGGATAAACTGCAGGATGATAGATATGCACTGCTCTAAGCTGCTACTTCTAGGCAATAGAAAATAAACTGGGCTTCAAATTCCTGTTACAGTGGGAAACTGTAATGATTCTCTTCCATTCAAATTCTGTAAGGCCTCTCTTTGGCCTATGGAACTTTGGAAAACATGAGAAATTTCAAAGCAGCAATCAAGAGCCAAAAAGACAAGTCAAGGGGGACATAAAGACATTTCTCTGAATTCTGCCTCTCCTACAGGGAAGAGGCTATCTCAGACCAGGGTTCTGCTCAGAAGAGAAGCAGCCTTGAAGAGATTAATTGCAAGCTCATCTCATACGTGAGGGTGATGAAGGCTCCTGGAGGGGGGCGATTTGCCAGGTCACTGGCAGTTACTGCAGACTGGGATGAAGCCCCAGCTCGGAGCTGTCATTCTAGTCCTCACACATACTCCGATTCACTCTGCTGGTTCCATTCTGGAAACTCAGGCATAGCTCTTCATTCCCTATTTATTTCTCTACTTCTGCATTTCTAAGAGGACCACATCTCACGTTTATTTGACACATGCCTACTTGCCTCCGAAGACACAGACCAAGACTTCCACAAGGCAGTGGTCCTCACAGCTTCAACCTCTCTGACACATCTAACAATGCCAGAAAGAATGTCTTTATTCATAACCCAAATAACAGCTTTTGATTTTTATTTGGGACAGAGAGGAGACAATCCCGTGGCTGACAACAGAATGGCCATGGAATGACTTGATCACTCAGGGGACCCCAAAAACGACAACACAGGAGGCCGTGACTCAAAGCTACAATAGAGAAGCTCACACACAAGCCCAGATTAGCAGCACACACCATGCCTGGCCGCTCCACAGTGGCTTTACCTGACAACTACCAACAACTAAGCCACATCCCCAACCCCAAGGCCTCCACTACCAAATGGAAGCATACACTCAGAGGCTTATCACCACCACAGTCACATCCTCTGGTTCTCATGAAAACATTTTCTAAAGGACTGGGAGAAGAGAAATGGCAGCACTAGGCTTGGGAGGGAGGATGACGGTACACTCTACCGACTGACGACAGAAGGCAGGCAATCGGAGTTTAGATTTGTGCTTATGACTTCCTGCACTGCACTGTGGGGCCAGCAAAGGCAAAGACAGTCTCTGATCTCTCAGCTTCTCTTTCCTTCCTTCACCACCTTCTTCCTTCCTGAACTGATGCTCTTTTGTTTCTGTATGTACACATGAGTATGTAGGTACACATAAGTGTGTGTACATAAGTACGTGCGTGTGTATGTGTGTGTGTGTGTGTGCGCGTGCGCGTGTATGCAAGTTCTCTCACTGAGCCTGGGACTCAGGGATTCGGCTAGGCTGACTGGCCAATGACGCGCGCGCACGTGCGCATGTATGCAAGGTCTCTCACTGAGCCTGGGACTCAGGGATTCGGCTAGGCTGACTGGCCAATGAGCTTCAGGGATCTGCCTGTCTCAACCCCCACCCCAAGGCTGCTGTTATAAATGTACACCACCATACCTGGCTTCTTACGTGGTGTTAGGGACCCAAACTCAGGTCCTTGTGCCCTTGTGGAGGGGACTTTACTGACTGAGCCGTCTCCCCAGCCCTACAGGTGTTTTTCACTTAAAAAATCCAGGGGTTGGAGCTAAAATTCTCAAGCTAATTCCCATTGCCTTATGGAGTCCAGCTGTTAGCTGTTAAACAATGAAACAGCTATATCTATACAATAAACAGACTCAGAGAGCCTTTGCTAAATAACAGGTCTGGAAGAGAGACCACAAATGGTCATTTTCAATTCCACTGTGAAGAATTTGAGTTTGAGCTGAGCCTTGGCCCTCCAGCTTTTGTGTAGGCAGCAGGGGACATAGGCCTTTCCTGCCTGTGCAGGAGGACACACATCCCAGATGCAGTCACCGATTCAGGGCTGCTCCTCTTATGCTCAGCTGGTTTCAGCTCATTCCCACCTGTGCCTGGGTCTCTCCCTCAGTTCCTCTGCAACCCTCACTGCCAAGGCACGTGCAGCTGGCTAAGATGGCAGCTTCACCCGAAGTCCCTGAGGCAAGGATTTCCTGAGGCCTTGATGCAGGAGACGCCTACAGCTGGTTCACACCTGCCATTCCTGACTTCCTTGTTCTCTCAGGATGTGTCTTGCCAGGGCTTGTCATGAGCAAGTCTTTGCAGACATCCCCCTAGAGGCTAAAGTCTGCCTTCAATGATATTTCTTCCTCCTTGGGTTTTCAGAGATAACCTAAGGGCTAAAATCTTCTTTATATGATAAAACCAGTGTAGTAAAACCTGTACTCCAACACTCTCATGAGTGTCATTGTGGAAGTCAAGGGCTATGATGTCCAACTCCTTCCACAGGCAAATAGATAAGCTACAGACACCAACTCCTTCCAGAGGTAATGAATACGCTATAAATGTACAATCTCTGTCTATGGGCAAATGGATAAGCTATAGAAATCCAGTCTCACTCAACAGACAGATGCATAAGTATATTAAGATGCGTCTATGCAACATAAGAGCATACAGCAACATAAAGGGTGAATTACTAACATACACAGTGAGACTCAGGAACCTCACGGCCATTTCACAGAGAGGAAAGCTGGCTTCAAAGGGTTAGATACTATAGGATTCCATTCGACACTGAAAAGGCAAAATTATAGTGGTAGACAGAAAATCAGTGGTTGCCAAGGGTTATGGGTTGGGGAGGGGTTTCAGGTGCCACTATAAAGAAGACAGATGAGATTTTTAGGGAAGATAGAGCTTTGTGAGTGCCCCATTTGCGAAGGTCAGCCACATCTGTCCATATGTGAAAACTCAGAGAGCTATATACCCAAAATATAATGGAAAAAGTCCATTATATTTTACCATATAAAGTAATAAAGTTAAATGTTCAAGTCATCTACTTAGCATGAATCATGTGTGGTTAACGATTGCTGGAACAACGAATTAGGGTCTCTCCCTGGAGCTCCTGAGGTCCTGCCCTAATCCAGCCCCATAGAAGTCCCTCCTGTCAGCATCTCCCAACTACTCCATCCTGTTCCATGAGGTGACAGGTACCAGAGACCCCACTACCAGCAAGGGCTCTTGCTGGGGGATTTCAGTGGGACAGGGAAGGGCATTATGCCATTTTTAGCTTACAGGGTGAGAGCTGGCTGCCAGCTTCTTTCCCTCAGCTCCTCTGAAGACATGGTTTGGTTGGGGAAGGGCAGAGAGTGTAGTTAATGTCTCTGGTTAACAAAAAGAGCCACTTCAGTCTTCAAAGCCCAGGCTTCTAGGCTTATACTGCCTATGTTTTGTCATGAAAATGCTACTTTTAAAAAAATTCCATGTTCTTATGCCATCATTTATTTTCTTGAAACCAATTCTAGTTAGAAATCACCCACCACCCAACTGGCAATATAATTTCCCAGACTTCAGAATCTGTGTATCATATACCCCCCTGAATACCCCCAAATCCCCGGCCCCGGGACTCAGATTAACATTTCAATTAGTTGCTGTTTGGTTAACTCAGAGCATTTGACTTACTGAGGCAATGAAAATGACTCCAATTCAATAAAACAAAACTAACAAGGAGTAGCAGTGATCCGTAGCCTCCAAGGAAGGGTGATATCCTAAATTAACCTCTTCCAGGGATTCTGGGCCTGCAAAGAACAGGTATTTCCCTGGCTTGCTTCTCTGTTCCTGTGACAGGACACTGGCCAAAAGCACTGGGGGGAAGAAAGGGTTTATTTCTGCTTACACATCTAGGCCACAGTCCATCACTGAGGGAAGTCAGGTCAGGAGCACAAGCTGAACAAAACCCACAGAGGAATGCTGCTTGCTAGCATTCTCTCTTAGCCTAGGCCCACCTGCCTAGGGATGGCACTTCCCACATCAATCAAGACAATCACTCACAGACATGGCCACAGACCAATCTAATCACAGAAATTCTTAATTGAGGTTCCCAGGGGACTCCAGGTTGTGTCAGGCAGACCATCAAAACTAACCAGGACAATAATGGATAGGGCAGAATGGCTTGAAATGAAAGATCAAGTGAGGCGTCATTGGTTAGTGCCTCACGGTGTCCTACAGGGGCTGGGTCACTGCCAATGACTGGCGACAGAGGGCCCAAGGGCTGCTGCCATCACAAGGTCATCAGGCACAGCCTATGCCAGTGAAGTGGACAGAGTGACAACGGACAACACTGGGCATAAAGGAACTTCCTTTTTCCTGAATTGTTCCCCAGAGCAAGGTCACTGACTGCAAAGGACAGGAAATGAGCATAAACTTGTTTCAAATCACACAGTAAAGTGAACTGATAAACAGACTTGAAAATAAAGAGAATTCGTATGATACTCCATCTGAAACCTTATGACCATTTCCTCTCACGGCTGTACAAGAGTTTACATTCATCAGCAAATACTTCATTAAGAAGCAAATGCAGGGCCTGGAAAGATGGCTCATAGTCAAGAGCACATGCTGTTCTTGTGGAGGACAGGAGTTCAGTTCCCAGCACACACACTGGGCAGCTCAAAACCGTTAACTCCAGCTCCAGAGTATTTGATGCCCTCTTCTGCCAGTACCAGAGCATGTGTGCATGTACATACACACACACACTACATGCACACAGACACACACAGACACAGAGACACACACACAGACACAGATGCACACACATGACACACAGACACACAGACACACACACACTACACAGACACACACACTGCACACACATACACTACATACACAGACACACACACTACACACACACACAGATATACACACACGGACACACAGACACAAACACAGAGACGCACATGCACACACACATACACACATGCACACACACACACACATAAGAATAAAATAAATCTTAAAAAACAAAAGCAGCAAACGGGACAAGAGAGTTACGGCACATGCCCTACAATCCCAGCACTCAGGAGTCAAAGGAAGGAGGACCACTATGAGCTCCATCAGCCTTCTCTGCA